GGGGGAGGAGGGGGGCGCTCGTCACTCGGCTTTAGTCTACGCTGTAATATACACTCTAACAAGTTTTTACTTTTGCATAAAACTCATGACAAAGTCGCATTAAAACATTTCATATAACACAAACGCATGCGTGCACGCACACACCTACAGTACCTTTGTACCGGCTGCTGTGTTCGCTTCCTGCTAGCTGTCCTCTGGAGGTGGTCTTTCCTCTCTCGTCTTGGCAGTGAAAGGGGATAAATGTACATTTCCCTTTTATAACCTCCATCTTCTCATTTCTGATGCTGGCTCTTGAATATCCTCAGGTTAGAAATGCCGATTACAAACGCAAGCGTGAGCTTTTAAAGATAAGTTTTCCCTGTAATGCTATGATCCAYWGCTGTCACCTCCTMATCAAGAGGAAAATGGATAAAAACTAACTACTCAATCATATCTGCTGATTAGTGGACACAACGGCACACAACAGAACTCACGTTTTATACCAGTAGATCACAGATGCTTTAACTTTTGTGACTTTTTCACGTACTAGTACTAGGAGCTTACGTTAAAAACATAGGCAGTAAGCAGGGAGTGGAAGGGAGGAGCGTGGCAAGAATTTTACCGGAAATACGTCATTAATGACCGTGGCATATAGGCTATAATGTTACGACCCAGCTCACCCAGGAGAATGGTAGGTAACATTAAAACCAGCTGGAAATTGGTTTAAAGATGTAAAAGTGATTTAAACTCAGGCACAGTCCACCCTTGAAAAAGAGATCTGCAATCTCAATGGGATTTGTCTGGTTAAATAACAGTAAATAAATAAATTGTGGCTAGTTAACAAAATAAACAAAATTCTAACAAAAAGAGGGTCCAAAAGTACAAAATCCCAATGGCTGAATGGTTTGCATTTTTTAACAAGATAAATAACAGAACCAAAGATTACCAACTAAGAATAAACAGCGCTGTTACAAGCTTAAGAAAACCAAAATACACTACTTTGAACAGTGACCCAGTCACTCGAATGTTAAATAAAATAGTTCTAGTAAGAAAAATATCTAGGCAAAGCTTTTAAGCCTTAAAATCAACAAAACTATATAAGCAACTAAACCCACAGTTTGTTCAACAAAGAAAACAAAGAGACTTTAAATTTAACCCACTGGTTCCAAAACTAGACCTGGCAGAAACAACAAAACTAAGGCCAAACATACATGAAACCCYAAAGACAAAACGACAAGCTGCTCTAATCACAGCCGTCCTGATTAACAGAAGAGCAGAGCTTAAATACAAGTGTCTTCTGTGGCTGGAGGAGCAGAAGGTGAATGATCCTGTCCAAATGCAGGAGCCAGGAGAGGCCAGTCAGTCGCAGAGTTGTCTCAGCACAGCAGGACCAGCAAATCATACACCTGCAACAGCACAGTCAGCAAAACTAATGGCCTGCCCTCAGGCCATAACAAGAATCATGAATGAATGTCAAAGTAACACTCTGGGTATGTGTTTGATGAGGTAATGACATTACAAACGTAAAGCTCAAAAAGTCAATTTTGCGTCACACCCCCCTTTAAAGCCACACAGCTGTGTTTAGGTTGAACTATTTATCCCTTAAACATAGTCCAGCCTCATTTAAACAACTTTGTTTTGTCACATAAATGTCTTTCTTGAATAAGTGAACCTATGCACTGAGCTCCAGGCTCAGGTCCAGGTTCATGACTTAAAACGAGACAGTTTGTTGACAGAAGCTCTGACATGGTGAAGAATCATTTATATTYTGTTAAAGTTTGTACGAACAGGAAATACAGTGAAACATAATTAAGTCATGTTGCTAACAATAATGGTCGTCAAATCTTACTGTTTTTTTTAACTTGGCAACAATAACTCAGTAATCGTGGGTGTGGCTTTATTCTCAGCTGTGAGCTTTGAATTCTAAGGAAATACTTTATGATTCACTGGTATTTGGGTAAATGTTAATCCAGTGTGACATTCTGATGAATTATGAGCTGGAGGAATCTTCATCAACTTGATTCATAGTGTTAGACATAAGATTTATGCAAACATGAGCACTGAAAGTTCAAACTAAGAAGATTAATAAGCAAAGATTTTGTTAGTGGGATGATTGTTGTGAAGCCTTTAGATGAAGACTAAGTCTTTAGAATTATAGCGTGCTGGGGTCAAGTTAAATAAAGTTCACAAAAACATGTTGCATTGTTCTTGTAAAACCATATTAAAAACATCACAAACAAATAAAAAGAAGAATTACTGTGGGAACCAATGATCATATTAGGACTGTATGCTTTCCATCTGTGTCYATGCTGAATATTACCCATAATGCAACAGTCAAAAACTTTAGTAAACTCTGCAGTGGGCACAGTTCCCCTAAAGCACTAAAGCACTAATAGGGGAACTAATTTCCTGATGAGTGCTTTAGGGCTTTTGCTAATTTTACATTTTATTAGTGTGAAGAGTTGGCTTGGCTCATGGCTGATTGGTTCTCTGCCTGATTGTTCTCACCTGGGAGTGACGAACTGATGAGCTTCATAAGGCATGTGACTCATGTTGTCTGTTGAAGAATGTTCATGGGTTGACTGGGTTATTTTAGTGCTTTAGAATTAGTTTCTGCTGAAGAGAGGCGGGACAAGATGGCGGAGGAGTGAGACGTGTGTCGCGTGGGCTCCCGCTCCGACTTGTTCTGTTTGTGGTTCTATACTAAATGTCCTTGCTGTTTTGAACATTTGGTCCGTCTCGACCCCTGAGTGATTCTTGCCTGGAAGAGTAGAAGAGTGGCGACAAACTCGAAGAAAAGCAAACATTCTAGCTCGACAGCTGTTAGGCCTGATGCCACTCTGGAGCAGACTGCAGCTAGGACCGGAGTTTCGGGGCCCTCCTCTCCCCCCAGCAGCGAGGCGGACGCACTCTTCTTGAAGTCTGATATTCTTGCCGCTATAAAAAACGATCTCTCAGCTGTGATCAAATNTGTCAGTGCAACGCTGTCTGATCCATGAAGGGATGTAAATGTAAACAGTTTTGGTAAAATTAATCACTGCAATAAAATAACTTTCTCTTTTATGGTGGATTGCGACCACCAGAAGGCTCCAAAAACATGTTTTAGTCCCACCCTCTCTACATCAAAATGTGATTGGTTGATGTTTCTGTCAGTTACCAAAAAAACAGTCTAACTCAGCTGTTTCTTTCATTTTTAATCTTCTTAAAGACAATTTTTGATGTAATTGCTTCTTGTCTTTTAAGTTCCTTCATTCTCATTAAAGGTTTCAGGGAATTCTTTCTGATTTACGTCTTTGTGTGTGTTCTCATCCTGTATGTCTTTCTGCAGGAGGATTTAAAGGCTGTGGTCATGGTCATAAGGGACATCCCAGGAAGCCTCACTGGTCGTGCTGCGGCAGCACCGTGGAGAAGTCAGAGTGTTTGCCTCAGAGCGTGTTGGCTGCTGTCGCTCCCTGCAGCCACCTGAGAACTGTGGAGCTCTGATGTGAGAAACTGAGGCCAGATAAGGTGATGCAAGTTCCTGAAAAGATGGAAGGTTCATATAGTGAGAGGTGTAGCATGAAGTGACCTCTATGACCTCTGGACCCTGAGGTTATGTTCCAACTGAACTGAATTATTTTCTTTAAAACTTATTTTAAAGATTACTCTTGACATACTGTCTTCTGTTTCAGTAAAATTTATTGTTCTTTAACACTTAATCATGAATATACAGACTTAACAGTCTTTAAATAAAAAAAAACATTTATAAAATGAAATTTTCTTTATGCCAGTGTTGTCATAAATGACTGAGGTCTATATGAACTGAACAGTTAATGCAGATGTCTTTCTAACCAGTGAAGTGTTATAACAAATGTCTAACATGTTTTTTCTTCCTTTGTTTTAGACAAAACTCTCCTTAACAGGGAGACTGAATGTCTGTGTTTTATTTTGGAAAGCTGTTGGGCAGAGACACCTTTACAATATTAATCTATCTTATAGTCTTGAGAGAGAGACTGAGACAAATCTTAGTGACGTAGACAAGTAAGCTGGTTTCAAGAGAATACACTTCTTTCTGTCGCTCAAGTCCTGTTTGTCTGTCTGTACAGTTTGTGTTTGTCTGTAC